TTTTTGACATGGGTGCTGGCAGATTACGGGCCTCCTATAGCTGCTGCCAGGCCCCTAATCTGCCGTAGGCCCCTATATACCGCCTCCTCATGCTGCTGCCAGGTCCAGAGTCTCTCATGGGTCCCTGTACGGCCTCCCATTGCTGCTGTCTCCATCGCCACACTCTGCCATGTGCCACTTTCAGGTCTCCTCACACTGCTGGTGTGTTCCATTTTTTGTCATAGGGTGCTGGCAGATTATGGGCCTCCCATAACTGCTGCCAGGCCCCTAATCTGCCATGGGCCCCTATACCGACTCCTCATGCTGTGACGTTGCAACAAGGTGGAATTCAACCCTACATATGTTAGACCGCCTTTACGAACAGCAAAAGGCCATCACAGATTTCCTGATGTTAAAAGCAGATAAAGGTACTCCCTGTGTAACTTAGATGTCAGCCATTGGCAGCTCATGCGTGACACCTGCGCTTGCTCAGGCCCTTTGAGGAGGCCACGCTATTCGTGAGTCGGCAGGACTATGGGGGATGAACGACGTCATTCCTCTGTTGCACGTCCTGGAACAAATGCTGTTAACAATGGCTGGTCAGGGTGCGGTAGACGTGGCGCACAGATCTCAACGCCACATGGCCCCTGTGGGGGCAGGACTGGAAGAAGAGGAGGAGGTAGAGGAGGACATTGGTGCTCAGGAATTATTGAGTGAAATGGGTGGTTTTTCCACTCAGCGGACAGGAGTGGAGGAGCAGGAGCATCTGGTAGAGGAGGAGGAAGAGGAGACAGAGGACCTAGACGCACCGTGGCAGTATGCTGTGGAGATGGAGGCAGGGAGTCCCTCGCATTCCTTGGCACAAATGGCCCATAGCATGCTCGGTTGCTTGCGTAGCGACAGCCGAATAATAACCATCAGACAGAGGGATGACTTTTGGCTGTCCACCTTGTTGGACCCTCGCTACCGTTCAAAAATGGTGGCCTTTTTCACACCTGCTGAGAGGGAGGCCAAAATAACGTACTATAAAAAACACCTATGTAGTCAGCTGGTCTCTGCCTGTCTGCGCCAACGTCCATCCTCAGACACTGTGGGCCCTGTGCGCTCGTGTTCCGCTGCCATGGCAGCAGGGGAGGGGGGGGGGTGGTAGGAGCAGTGGCAGCTCCACCAGCAGCGGCTGCCTCAGTCTGCAGTCGATGATGAGTAGCTTTCTTCACCAGCGCAGTGAGGAAACTACTAACCAGCCGCAGCAGCAGCAGCAGCATCAGGTGGACCTGGAGCAGGACCTCAAACAACAGGCTTAGGCCTACTTGGACAGCACCCTGCCAACCGAGGTAGACAATCCCCTTGACTACTGGGCAACGAAACTTGACCTTTGGCCCCAACTAGCTGAATTTGCCCTTGAAAGGCTGTCATGCCCGGCCAGTAGCGTGGCATCGGAGCGCGTGTTTAGTGCGGCAGGAGGTATTGCAACTCCGCGGAGGACACGACTGTCCACCCAAAGTGTGGAGAGACTCACGTTTGTGAAAATGAATCAGGCGTGGATTAGTCTGGATTTCAAACCACCAGTTCCTGACACAACTGACTAAATCCGCCATGAATCATGCCCCCCAAACATGTGCCACTTTCAGGTCTCCTCACACTGCTGGTGTGTTCCATTTTTTGTCATAGGGTGCTGGCAGATTACGGGCCTCCCATAGCTGCTGCCAGGCCCCTAATCTGCCATGGGCCCCTATACCGCCTCCTCATGCTGCTGCCAAGTCCAGAGTCTCTCATGGGTCCCTGTACGGCCTCCCATTGCTGCTGCCTCCATCGCCACACTCTGCCATGTGCCACTTTCAGGTCTCCTCACACTGCTGGTGTGTTCCATTTTTTGTCATAGGGTGCTGGCAGATTACGGGCCTCCCATAGCTGCTGCCAGGCCCCTAATCTGCCATGGGCCCCTATACCGCCTCCTCATGCTGCTGCCAGGTCCAGAGTCTCTCATGGGTCCCTGTACGGCCTCCCATTGCTGCTGTCTCCATCGCCACACTCTGCCATGTGCCACTTTCAGGTCTCCTCACACTGCTGGTGGGTTCCATTTTTTGTCATAGGGTGCTGGCAGATTACGGGCCTCCCATAGCTGCTGCCAGGCCCGTAATCTGCCATGGGCCCCCGTACCGACTCCTCATGCTGCTGCCAGGCCCGTAATCTGTCATGGGCCCTGTTGTCGCTTGTTGGCATATTCCGCTCGTTCAGATGCTCCTTCTCCTGCTACTCCTCTTCACGGATTCCGTCAGCAGTCTTTCTTGGAATCCGTTTCCAAGAGACAACAGTTTGCGAGCACGCACCCGACGGTGCAGAAGCTGAACGTCCTCCTGTCCAAGTTGCTGCTGCCAGGCTCGTAATCTGTCATGCGCCCCTGTACCGCCTCCTCATGCTGCTGCCAGGTCCAGAGTGTGTCATGGGCCCCCGTACCGACTCCTCATGCTGCTGCCAGCCCGTAATCTGTCATGGGCCCCTGTACCGCCTCCCCATGCTGCTGCCAGGTCCAGAGTGTGTCATGGGTCCCTGTACGGCCTCCCATTGCTGCTGCCAGGCCCGTAATCTGCCATGGGCCCCTGTACCGACTCCTCATGCTGCTGCCAGGCCCGTAATCTGTCATGGGCCCCTGTACCGCCTCCTCATGCTGCTGCCAGGTCCAGAGTGTGTCATGGGTCCCTGTACGGCCTCCCATTGCTGCTGTCTCTATCGCCACACTCTGCCATGTGCCACTTTCAGGTCTCCTCACACTGCTGGTGGTTTCCATTTTTGTCATAGGGTGCTGTATGGCCTCCCATTGCTGCTGCCTCCACCGCCACACTGTGGCTCCACACTCTGGTTTTGGCCCCGTGACTGCCCAAATGAGTGAAGTGTGCGGTGATTCTAAGATCGACGGCACTCATCTGCATGTCATACTGACTGACAGTATTATTTCTCTTCCCCAGCAGACTCCAAGGGCATTTAAATTAAAGGTACAGTGTTCTGCACTAATATTAAGTCTCTCTGAAGCCTAGAAACACCCTTTTTTAAGTTAAATTCACAGCGAATTTATTCGACTCGAATCGAATATTGTCCACGAATTCGCCGAATCAGTCGAATCGAATTTTTCATTTCTTCAGCTACAATCCAACAAGAGAGTCAATTAACCCATTAAATTAAACATATACACTCTCTAACATGCATAGGGGAATAGGGGAGAGGGGCCAGAAGTGGTCAGCATAAAGTATCTCAAGGGGGAACAATAGCAACTAGAATGGTTTGACTTGTCCATTTTATTTCACCCTTAAGAGTGGTTAGCTGGTGGGAGCAAACAATGGGAATACATGTGTAGCACTACCACCTGGAATGCTGGATTTGTTTTGGGCCCCCTAAGCTCTGCACAACCAGGCAACACGTATTTTCCACACTTGCACATTCAGAGTCAGTAAACAGCTCTTGAGCTGGTTTTTAGTTATTTTATTAAGGGGTTAAAGTGCTTGTGAAGACTCAAGGTTTTATACCTTCATGTATTCTATGCATGAAGGTAAAAAAAACCTTCTGTGTGCAGCAGTGCCCCCAACCCTCTCAATACTTACCTGAGCCTCATCGCGATCCAGCAATGTGAACAACAGCCTCGGCTGTCCTGGGTCTCTGCCTCCTCATTGGCTGAGACAGCAAGTGGGAGCCATTGGCTCCCGCTGATGGCAATCACAGCCAGTTAGCCAATGAGGAGATAGAGGGGGCGGGTCATGCCCAAGGACCTGTAAACCTGGGGAAAAACTTCTTAGCAAGCTGTACACTGTACAAAAAGATGTGGATCAAAAAAGAGCACTGTCCTCCCTAAGAGACAGTGGAACAGTGAAGATTTTCCTGTCTAGCAACTAGCCTGTAGGTAGGCTCCCCTCTCTGGGGCCCCTTCCCAGTCTCCACACTCCAGTCTTCCTCTCAGTCCATCATCCTCCCAACTCTGCACACCAGCTTCCCAAGCTCTGCCACATTTGAGTGTTGTCCTTTGTCACTAGGCCCAGCCTTCTGCCTGGGGATTGGACAAGGTCCCTCAAACATGCAGATCTGACCCTCCTCCCCTCCTCCGCCCCTCTCCCAGAAAGGTTTCTCAGTTTCTGGAAAGGGCTCCAGAAGCCGTGACCTGATACCCAGCCTCTAACTAACAAAAAAATCCTTTCTAGCTTACCTAGTGGGCATTATATGTGGTTTCATTTTCTCTCTAGGGGGTACCTTTACGGTGAAAAAATACCAAAGCCCATAGCTTGAATTTGCCATCACCTGGTAATCTACCTCTTGGTAATGGTTGTTAAAAAGCACCTGTAACCAAATAGGTTACATCATAGCTTGTGTACCGCAAGCAGGGTGACTTAAATCAATAGCTTCTACTTTGAAACTACTTTTGCCACCAGAGATTTCTCCCCATGCTCCTACAAAGCTTTCTATGTATACCCTAAGCAGAACTATATTGAATTGGTTGGTTCCATCAATGTGGGAAAAGTAGTCTACTCTTTGAGGGGAACCTACTAAGGCTGGAGCACCTAGAATCTGGAGCAGCTTTGCATGGCAACCAATTAGCTTCTAGATTTCATTTTCAAATCTTAGCTGAAAAAGCTCTGGAGGGAAGCTGATTGGTCACTATGCACAGTTGCTCCAGATCCTCTTTGTTCCAGTTTTATTAAGTTCCCCCTTTTCCCAGTTACCAGCCCGTTAATTTGAAGAAGGGGACAATATTAGAGCAGGCTGGTTAGTTTGTTTTATGCCCATATTGGGTCCCCTTTCTCCCTGGCCCCCATGCCTACTATGTTATACCCTTTGTTTAGGAGCATAACCCTTATTACTTTTGTTAATGAAGAGGAATCATTAATCAAGACTCTTAAATTTATTAGCCTTATTGTTTCCCTTCTTTCAGTATTTTTAGCATTTATATCTGTATATTATTTTCTATCTGTTCTCTTCTTGCCGTCCTCATCTGCATAGTAAGAAGATATTCAGCCGTAAAAAAGCCACCATCACTGTATGTGGACCTGAACTGGCTTGCAAACTACTGGGGGTGTGATGGGAAACCAAGAATGTAAGTCCTAGTAAGAAAAGTCACAATAACAAGTCACTGAGGGTTTACCACTGGATACATGGTGATAATACATAAGAAAACACCTGCAGAAAAAAATTGCTTTTGTTAGTTACCTGTAAAGGTGTACATAAGTATGATGTAATTATATCTGTAACATGGTTTGCATTACAGTATATAAGAAAAGTTCCAGAAACTGTATATAAGAAAAGTTCTAGAACTACTACAACTAGACAGAAACTGAACTCTTTGTTGTAGCAATGCTGCTTGAATGCTGCAGAAAATATATATTTTATAGAAATATATATTTTTCATTTAAACCACTTCCCACCCAGCCTATAGTCAAATGATGGCTTGGCGAACCTCTCATCCCTCCTGGAGGGCATCATATGATGTCCTTCCTGGATGGTGCCTTGCGTGTGCCCGCAGGGCTGTGCTGTTGTGAGATCTGTCTCCGGCTGTGTATCTTGGACACGGCCGATGACAGATCTGTGTACCAGCCCCATTGCCAATACCATGTGACCTGCTGTGACCAATCACAGCAGGCCACATGATAGTTGAATGCAATGGATGGTTTCCTTTCATGTCATCCATTGTATACAAGTGTGTCTAGCTGTGAATGGTCACAGTGATCACATGCATAGGCTGGGCCAGTCACAGGCCATCTGTGTCATGTGATTAGCTGTGGTCAATCACAGCTAATCACAACAAAAAAAAGCCGAATTAATTGATTTCATTCAGTTAAATGCTTGCTTATAGCAAAGCAATCATATTGTGTAAAAAAAACAAATAAATACTGATCACTTCTCCAAAGTAGTATGATGTTACTATGGTAACATTATACTACTTTGATCATAGTGTAATTTGAAAAATAAAATCTTAAAAAAGAGAAAAAAATGTAATAAAAAATAAAAACATAAAAAAAATTATAATTTTTTTTTTTTCGTACTGTCACCAGTCAGTGTCCCTGATCACCGCCACACCAGTTATATGCTGATGCTGTACTGCACTGGTGAGAGTATGTAAAAAAAAATTGTGAAAATTATTTTTTTAATATCTTAATTTTCCAAAAAAATTATGAGAAAAAAATCACAACTTCAAAAAACTCACCATGCCTGTTATGAAATACGTTGGGCTGTCTACTTTGCAAAAAGGAGTCATTTGGGGGATATCTGTACTGTCCTGACATTTTTGGGCCTCAAGAAATTAGATTGGCTGCCAGTACTTCAGGATTTATCAATTTTCAGATATATCCTATAGTTTGTGTACTCTATAACTTTCCTACAGACTAAATAATAAACACTGGTTTGGGTTATTTTCACCAAAGACATGTAGCAGAATACATCTTGGCCTAAATTTATGAAGAACAATTATTTATTTGCAAACTTTTATAACAGAAACAAAGAAACGTGTTTTTTTTTTTTTTTAAATTTTCGGTCTATTTTTGTTAATTTAGCAAAAAAATAAAAGCCTCAGTGGTGTTTAAATGCTACCAAAAGAAAGCTCTAGTTGTGTGAACAAAATGATAAAAATTTAGTTTGGCTACAATGTTGTATGACCGCGCGCAATTGTCATTCAAAGTGTGAGAGCCCTGAAACCTGAAAATTGTCCTGGGCAGGAAGGGGATAAAAGTGCCCGGTATTGAAGTTGTTAATATATGAGGTATATGTTTACATTTTCTTCAGATATCATCATACAGGACCAGTGACCAATTTCTACAGCTTGAGAGAAGGACTTGCAATACTGGCCGAGAAGGTAAAATAAACCAGTTTTTAAGGCATATTTGGGCTTAGTCAATAAACAGTGAAAGAAATCAATTGCAAGCTATAGTAGCCCAGATTAAAAATAAGATTTCGTTTTACTGAAGCTAACCTAGTAAAAGATCAATTCTAACTGATTCGCCCAATGTAAATTGTGACATCAAAATATAGAAGCGTTGACAGGTTGTACTTGCCCTCTTTCAAAATTTCAATTAAAAACTATTGGAAAAGAAAATTTTGAGGTTGTAAGATATCACAGATATTCACTTAATTTCAGTGGGTGGTAGTAGACAGATGTCCATATGAATTCATAAATCTATAGTTAGACAAATGTTCATTATTTAAAATGTGAAAAATTGTCATAGGCCTGCAGGCCTAAATTAGAACCTAGCTGCCCACAAGATTCTGACAAGCTTGTGTACAGATAAAGCAAGAAGCTTTAGACTCATCGGCTGCAGAATTAACTGGAAGCCAAGGTCATCCTCAGAGGAGGACTGACAACTCATGGGGCCCCCGGGCAATAGGGGATCATGGGGCCCCTGTGTCCTCACCAACACCCAAAAAAGCTTATGAAAAAGCCAATGAAAGGTACCAGGGGCATCTCATGGGGCCCCCTACTGACCCCGGGCCCTCGGGCAGTGCCCGAGTGTTTGAATGGTCAGTCCACCCCTGGTCATCCTATATTTCACTGTGTTCTTTCTTAGATCAGATGGATTATGTTTCATCTCTATGAAAATCCAAAATATTAGTCACACATAGATAGTGCAAACTGTGAGCTATATGCACATATAAAATTGTATGTCCTGGTTGTAAAGGATCACATGGGGCCGACCAAACCAGTGGGGGTTATTTACTAAAGCTGGTTCACTCCGAATCTCATGCAAAGAAGCCAATCAGCTTACAGGTTTTATAGCTAAAGCTTAACTGAACAAGCTCAGGTTAGAAGCTGATTGGCACCAATTCTTAGTACACCAGTTTTAGTAGATAAACCCCATTATATGGGATTCATTTACAGCAGCCATACAGTGAATGCACTTTTGGGATGAGGAACTGATTTCATAAATCCTGTCCCCAACATAGCTACACATTAGAACTGGCTTTTCCATATAAATTATGGCTACTTCAGAAGGCCAGAACCCCACCTTTAGCAGACGAGACAACACCTGCTAGAGGTAATTCGCCATGAGTTAGAGTCCAGCCCACATCCATACCTCAATAAATTGAGCAGTGGAAAAAATGAACAGTGTAATGTGTGTTAGGCTTCCTTCATAAAAGCGTACTCAAACTTACATCTGTGTGAGGGCCATGTTTTGCTTGCATGTTCCCTTTCATCCAAGTGCAGGCAGTCCCATTAATGTCAATTGGGATGCAGCAGCTGCACGGACACAGCCGCTGCTCCCAATTTGACATTTGTGTCCTGAATGCAGACAACGTGGATTTAGAGAAGGCACCCTCATTAGGGTTACCACAGCATCCCTTTAAAACCGAACACATAATAATTACACAGGTTCTGTGGCTGATTAAGGTGGTAATAAGAATCACTTACGTAGTGCTTTATCTGCATTAAATTAACCTCAGAACCTGTGTAATTAATATGTGTTCAATTTTAAAGGGATAAGGTGGTAACTCTCACATGGTTGTACGCTTAAAGCGAAGTTCCAGTCAGTTTTGTGTTTGTTAAAAGTCAGCAGCTACAAAAACTGTGACTGCTGACTTAACACACACTTACATGTCCCAGGGTCCAGCGATGTGCTCACCCGCGCCATCCCTTCTCTGCCTCTTCTCTCCCCGGGCATCACTATGGGCACACAGCTTGCGGCTTCACAGCTGGGTGCCCGCTGCACATGCGCGAATCCCACTGCGCATTCTGATTGGTCCGGCAGTCTTCTGGGACACGTCCAGCTCACTTCTCTGTGACGTACTGAGCCGGAAGTGGGAGCGGGTAAACCAGGTATCCGCTCCCCCCTCCTCCCCATAAGGCATTGGAGGGGGGGGGGGGATGCAAACAAGCGAAGCTTCCACTTTTGAGTGGAACTCTGTTTTAAGTATGCCGTGTGAATGAGGCCTAATACAGTGGTCACAGACTTTCTCTGTGAGCATCCCACCAACACAATAAACCATGCTGCCCCAACTGTAAAGTTTTTTTCTGCATTTTTTCCCTTTTTTTCATAGAAAATAGCCAAATTTTCTATATGTCCTTGGTCTTTCTTGTATTTTTGTAATATTCATCTTATGCGTTTCTATGAACTGCCCTCCTAGGAATACTAAATTTAAAAAATATTATCTGACCTCTGGTATTAAACTTCTCAAAGTAAGTTCTCCTTACATTCCTCCACCACTATACAAGGTCCTTGCCCCAGTTAGCGAGTTCACATGGACATGCATACTTTTCTTTAGAAAGTTTATCCAGTAGTCAGATCTGTGAAAGCATCTGCATGGTCTCAGCTAGTTTATCTGATTGTATGTCCGTTTTGGCCTCATCCACAATACAGTAATTAGTGCAAAAATGTATTATTTTATTAATCTTAGAAACTGCAGGTGAAGGGATGCAGTGAGCCTTATATAGATCAGCAAAGTTGAAAATCCTGCTTTTAAACAGGGGTGCTCAAAGCATTTGAATGCAGAACACAGCAAAAGGCTACATTTGACCTGCTCTAACTGAAACATAATGCAAAAATGGGCAAACACAGCCCTGAACTTTTATTCACTGCATCACATAGCAAATGAAAATCTGCTGACCTGAATATGTTTGGTAAGAAAACAACACCTGTATATACAGTATGAGCCAGGGGCAGACTGACAACTCATGGGGCCTCTGGACAGCAGGGATCATGGGGCCCCTGTGTCCTTGCCCACACTCAAACCACTCCCAAAAAGCTTATGAAAGGTACCAGGGGCATCTCATGGGGCCCCCTACTGCCCCGTGCCCTCGGTCAATCCGCCCCTGGTATGAGCCCTAACATCTATAAAATATTACATGAAACACATTTTCTTTCACTGTACTTCTGTCCATACTGTATTGTATTTGTTCCTGAATAAAGCACAAGCCACCAGGACACTGAATATTTTCTATGTCCATCTCCAGGGTTTAGAGTGTTCCTGGGAGCAACATCGCGAGATTGCACTGAGGTTCCACAAGGGACTAGAAGACCTGGGATTAAAGCTCTTTGTGAAGGACCCAGTAAGTATTTACAGCAGAAATATAGTCGGGTATAACAGAAAATGGTAGCAAGAGATTCCCACCCTGTACTAGTTGCAGCCTAAAGTGTATACTACTGTAAAATCTGTAAGTGCATAGCGAACCTCAATGTGTCCTGCCCAGCAGCCAAACAATATGTTCATTTCACAAAGCTGTATTTCCCTGGTTGGGAGTTATAATAGTGATACCATCCTGGTTCAGTTTTCTAACTTCACTATTAACCACTTTCAGTCCGGACACTTTTACCCCCTTACTGTCCAGGCCAAATTTCAACTTTCAGTGCTATCACACTTTGAATGACAATTGCGCGGTCATGCAACACTGTACCCATATGAATTTTTTAGCATTTTTTTGAGACAGATAAAGCTTTATTTTGGTGGTATTTATTCACCACTGGGATTTTTATTTTTTTTGCTATGTAAATGAAAATGTCCAAAACATTTTTTTTAAAAAAAAGTGTTTTTCTTATAAAATTTGGCAAATAAATAGTATTTCATCATAAATCTTGGCCAAAATTTATTCCGTTATATTTTTAGTAAACATAAAAATAACCAAAATTAGTTTTATAACCAAAAATTATAATTTTTAAACATTTTTTTACATTTTTTTTATATTAATTTTTATTTATTTATTTTTTTACATACTGTCACCCTAGCAATACAGTGTCACCATGGTGACACTGTACTACTTGTGGGGGGTGATGAAGATTTTTTCTTTTTTTTTTTACACTGATTGCTTTTACACCCATAAAGGATGTAAAAGCAATCATTTCTCCTTCTCTCTAGCTGCATTCTTGCAGCCATTGAGAACTACTGAGTGAGCTGTGATTGGTCACAGCTTGTACATGGTACAAGGCTGTTGTGAATAGCCTTGTACCATGTGACCTCTGTGATCATTCACAGATTTCACATGTAGTAAGCAATGATGTCACAAGTGACAGCTTGCTTACTACTCTGCATGTGATCACTGATTGGACAATCAGTGATCACATGATCGGGACCTCGTACAGAGGTTCCGTCCAACAATCGGTGTTCCACTGTGTCCGGAGGACACAGAGGGCACCGGATCATGGTGCTGCACGCTTCCAGGGAGTGCGTTCAAGCAGGGTGCGGGGAGGCCGTTTATAAACGGCCACCCGACCCTGCACTGCCACCGTCCGGCTGTTTCTATACAACGGCCGGATGGGAGGTGGTTAAAGGCAAGATATAGTTATATAGTTGGTAAGACTGAATAAAGACACCAGTACATCCAGTGCAACCTGAGCGTGTGTGTGTCTGTGTGTGTCAATATCATCTGACTTATGGCATTAACCATCTCAAAGTAAATTCCCTCTCCATTCCTTCACCACCAAACAACGTCTCTGCCCCAGTTAGCAAGTTGCCTTGAACATGCATGATTTTCTCATTGTAGTTTTGTGTGTATTTTCTTTCCTAACGTATTATAATCAGGACTAAAAATGAAAAACAATAGATTTATTTTAACAAAAATATGTGATAATTTACCTTCCCTTTTATGGGCAAGCAAGCAAGTGCTCCAGATTTTTTTTTTTTAACATTTCCCAGACTCTTAGTTTGCATTCTTACTGTATATCTCATTTACAGAACTAAATGGGCCTGATTTACTAAGGACTATGTGTGAAAAAAAAAAAACAAAACAAAAGCTGCGCAAATAGTGAAAAAGTGACAAAATAGCTGCTGGCAAGACAATCAGGTCAACTGTATACAAATATTATAAATAAATTGCCGCGCTCAAATATCACAACTAAGACACTGTCACAACCGTAAAAGTGATAACATAAATGTATTTATTTTGTTTCAGGTACTTATATAGTGCTGTCAATTTACACAGAGCTTTACATATATATTGTACATTCACATCAGTCCCTAACCCTCAAGGGGTGTACAATCTAAGGTAAATGAGTCCAAATGTAGAAATAAATAGTCACAGTGTTATGAACCATATAGTAGATCACCACGTGTCTTCAATAAGATTAGTTCTCCACCACCAGAAAATGGTAGGACTGTTACCGGAACATTTGGACCCTTATAAAAGAGTCACAAACGCATGAAAATATATCCACCGAATCCCTCAGAATTGGAAGAAGTTAAATCATGGTACTGGATAGAAGTATCATCTTTAAACATTAGCCGCCGGCCAATAGCCGTTTGGTGGCCAGAAAAATGCTTTAGATTTCTGGGTGGACACCATATGGCGTACTCCTGGGCATGCCCAGTTTGCGCGCTTGCAGAGCCCCCGGCAGCGGCGCGATCTGTCACTGGCTGTGTACCTCGGACACGGCCGATGACAAATCTGAGTACCGACCCCCGTTGCCGGTACCATGTGACCTGCTGTGACCAATCACAGCAGGTCACATGACAGTTGTATACAATGGATGGCTTCATTCATGCCATCCATTGTATACTAGTGTCTAGCTGTGAATGGTCACAGCGATCACATGCACATGTCATGTGATTAGCTGTAGCCAAATTACAGCTAAGCACAAAAAAAAAAAAAAAAAACCCTGAATGAATCGATGTCATTCAGGTAAATGCTTGCTTATAGCAAAATAATTCTTTGCTATAAGCAAATTGTGTAAAAAAAAAATACTGATCACTTCCCCAAAGTAGTACAATGTTACTATGGTAACATTGTACTACTTTGGTCATAGTGAAATATGAAAACAAAACTAAACAAAATGTAATAAAAAATTTAAAAAAAAAAAAAATATATAAATATATATATATATATATATATATATATTTCATACTGTCACCAGTCAGTGTCCCTGTTCACCGACATGCCAGTTATATGATGATGCTGTACTGCACTGGTGACAGTATGTAAAAAAAAAAAATAGTGAAAATAATTGTTTTAATTTTTTCATTTTCCGAAAAATTATGACAAAAAAAAATACAACTTCAAAAAAAAACTTGCCATGCCTCTTATGAAGTACGTCGGACTGTCTACTTTGCAAAAAGGGGTCATTTGGGGGATATCTGTACTGTTCTGACATTCTTGGACCTCAAGAAATTAGATTGGCCGTCAGTACTTCAGGATTGATCAATATTCAGATCTATACCATAGTTTGTGCACTCTATAACTTTCCTACAAACTAAAAAATACTCCTAATTTGGGTTATTTTCACCAAAGACATGTAGTAGAATACATCTTGGCCTAAATTTATGAAGAACAATTATTTATTTGCAAATTTTTATAACAGAAGCAAAGAAAAACATGTTTTTTTTTTCTAAATTTTCAGTCTTTTTTTGTTAAGTTGGCAAAAAATAAAAACCCCGGCAGTGCTTAAATACCACCAAAAGAAAGCTCTTGTTGTGTGAAGAAAATGATAAAATTTTAGTTTGGGTACAATGTTGTATGGCCGCGCAATTGTCATTCAAAGTGTGAGAGCGCTGAAACCTGAAAAATGGCCTGGGCAGGAAGGGGGTAAAAGTGCCCAGTATGGAAATGGTTAATTCCTCTCCATTCTTAATCTCATGATAATACCCCTCAGTATGGCCATGCGAAGAAAGACAGAGGAGTGACCATTATATGGTGTGATATTTGAGAGCGCCAATTTATTTATAATATGTGTGAATATAAACACTTCAAAGTTACATGAACAAGTCAAGTAAATCACAAGCTCATAAAATCTGAAATGTGATCATGATGCGCATGCACAGGCAACAGTGATTTATTTGCATAATTTACTAAGAAGTGTGGTTTGCTAAACAGTAGAGTCCAGCATCATAACATATGCCAACATATGCATATTAACATGTCGTGGTTTGCCTAAAATAAAAATGTGATATTTATCTTGTTTTTTCAAATCTGGGCAGACTCGGAGATAATTGGAAATAGGATGCAAGCCCCCTTACATCTAGCCACCCATAGACTAACATCAAGCTTCCAATCAGGTCTGCCTGAAAAACTGACCTGATTGGACCATCTGTGTAATACAGGTCGCTGTTATCTCTTCAAGGAACGTGGTGTTATATTACATACCAGGATTTAGCTAATCCTTTGTTTAGGGACTTTCTTACCAAATATGAATTTGCCCCCAGTCTGAGTTTTAGAAATGTTCTTAGTAGTTTTCTCATTTTCAAATATTTGACGTAAAGCTAGCAAAAATGAAAAATTCCAACAGCTTCAACATGTCTGTTAATATTGACATTTGACTTGTTTTAGGCTTTGCGACTTCCGACTGTGACAACAATTCAAGTGCCGACTGGCTATGAATGGAAAGACATCACAACATACATCATGAAGAAGTACAACATTGAGGTTACTGGGGGCCTAGGGCCCTCAGCTGGAAAGGTAACTGATAAATTGTCTAAAAATGTCACAATAGTCTTTTAGTTCAATTTTAAATGATTGTATTAGGTTACATTCACATAAACGTTTGATGCAGAATTATTCTGCTCATATCTGGTATTTCAGACATAGGTAGAAACTGGTGGACTGAGTCACCTGCCTGGTTTCTCATGATTGAAAGACTTAAGCAAAAAGGGCTTCCAGTTACATTTAATGGTGCTTCTGCTTCCTGGGCATGGAGTCTCACTCCTTCTGCCACATTACAGTCAATTCACTAAAGGATTTTGTATGCGATATGATGGTCCTACAACCAATTTTTCAGAAATATCGCTTGAGATAATAAAAGAGCAAATTGATCAAAGTCCTTTCACACACACAGCAGCTCGGCTCCGCCCCTGCTCTCTCCTCATTGGCTCACTGGCTGTGATTGACAGAAGCTGGAGCCAATGGCTGCTGTGTGAGCCAATGAGGGGAGAGAGACCCGAGAGAGCCGTGGCTCTCATGAACTTTACTAAATCGAGATGGGGCTCAGGTACGTATAGGGGGAGGGGGGATTTGCACTCAAAAGGTTGTTTACTTTAATGCATGGAATGCATTAAGGTAAAAAAAAACCTTCTGCCTTTAGAATAACCTTAAAGTACATTCTCTGCATGAAGGTTAAAAACTTTTAGTGTGCAGCTCCCCCCTCCCCCTTATATTCATCTGAGCCCGATCCTGATCCAGCGATGTGCACGAGAGCAGAAGCTCTCCCATTTATCTGTTTCCTCATTGGCTGAGACACAGCAGTGGGAGCCATTGACCCCCGCTGCTGTCAATCACAGCCAGTGAGGAGGGAGTGTGGACGGGGCTGAACCAAGCTCTATGTGTCGCAACACATAGAGGCGGCTAGGGAGCGAGCGGCCATGAGAGCCCCCAGAACAAGCAGCTTTCTCTGAGGCACTCAGCAGGGGGGGTCCTTGAGTACCAGTGGGGGACCCGAGAAGAGGAGAATTGGGGCTGTTCTGAGTAAAACCATTGCACAAAGCAGTGAAATTATGACATGCTTGTTATTTAGCCTGGGTTCACATATGTGCAGGCTGGTTTGCAGTGCGATCTGTAAAAGAGTCCGGTATGATTTCGTTCAGCAGTTCAGGTGCAATTCCAATGCAAATTGTTAAAGTGTATGACATTTGAAATCGCACCTGAATTGGGCTGAAATTCATACCGGACTCTTTATATAATCGCACTGCAGCTAGCCCGCACATATGTGAACCAGCTCCATGGAAAAGAATTTGGTTCATATGCGAATCAAATGCAGTTCAAAACATATCCAATTCGTGTATATGTGAACTGGGTCTTTAAAAAAAAAAAAAACGGAACCCTTACAATCACTTTAAAAGTATACAATGTATCGGTGTGGAAATGTCCTGCCCTGAGCTCAGGAATGAAAATAAATTGTAACATTTCACCAGAGGGAGATCAGAATGAAAGCACACTACAAAGTTTTCACAGTTTTGTAATATTTCTGTGAGCATTTATTTCTTCCTCTAGTGCAGTGTTAGTTTGTAAAAATAAAAAATTGCCAAAAAATAACGCCAAATATAATGCTACATTTAAGTGATAACTCGCAAAACATAGATATTTAACACATTCAGTAAATAGCGCATTTTTTTTTTGTGACAAACAGAAAATTGATGTTGCGCTAATCACAATAATGCCTCGTACACACTATAAGAAAATCGTACGAAAATGTTCGTACGAGGACCAATCGTCCGATAATCGGATCATTAGTACACAGCTTTTGAGAGCCGATCACGACAATTCGCACGACAATATCCGAACCGACAAGCGCAAACATTTTTCTTGTACAATACCAGATCGTACGATTTTCATTTAATCAGTACAGTAGTCGTCTGAAAATACAATACAAATACAACGCAGTACATGACATCACTTTCTAAATTCTTTTCTTTCATAGGAGAATTTTCGTATATTTAGTAACCTCTTCACTTTCGATGTGAGACTAGCAGACGAAAAAAAACGGCTGATCGTTCATCCGATATTCTCATCGTGTGTACGGAGCATAATGCCACAGATATTCCAAAACAAATAATGAGATAAGAAGACAATAGATAATACACCATAACATAATCAGTAAATGGAAGGAATATGGGAGTGAAGGGAAAGGTGAAATATTAAAGGTCCAAAATGAGGACCAAAAGGTGTAACAGACAATAAACTGTGACCGTCGGCAAAACGCATGGAAATGATCAGGGAAAAATAAAATATTAACTAAATCACAGTAATAGTGGGACATATGAGTCCGTCATAACATAAATGAAATAACGTGAATACAACTGATGAGAAAGTGGAGCAAAATGTGAAAAATACAAAATGAAGTGCTTAAATATTAAAAGTGGACAAACCACTTATCACAGAAGAATGCCAATAACAATGCACAGTGAGGCCAAAACATGTGACCAATGCGACTAAAGGGTCATAACACAATGTGCATCAAAAGGCCATGTGACATAAAACGACTAATAAGTGACCATATAAATACCATAAATAAATGTGGCAAACATATATAGAGTGCAACTAGTATAAAACAGAAAATGGTGATACAAACGTACAGTGAGACCAAATGAATGTAGGTCGGAGAGTGGAATGTGGTGATGTAATTTCTGACACGAGCGGCCGCAGCCATATTGGTACACCCAGTACACCCGTATCAGCACATGTGATTGATGCCTTGTTTGATCTGTTCCCATGTTGGTCTTAGGTCTAGAATCTTTGGTGTGCTGGCCATTTTGATGTATTGGATTTTCATGGTATCTCTGTCAGCCGTGCACCCTCTTCAAGGCATATGAAATGTGAAGGTTTAGGAGAATTCTTTGTTCAATATGGTTTGGCAAAATAAAAGCTGGAGTGTAATTTGTAGTCAGAATGTGTATTTTTGTGGTATTACTAAATGATTTGTATTATAATGTCTGCAGGTGCTACGTGTTGGACTAATGGGTTACAATGCAACGAAAGCCAATGTAAACCACGTATTAGAAGCTCTCAAAGATGCGTTGCAGCACTGCCCTAAGAACAAGATGTGATTGTGGTGTACTCTGCAACTGCTGAAGAAGCTCACTGTGTAAATGTAGCATCAATCTCTACTTCTTCACCTCCTAAACCCATGGTGGCTTTCATGTCATCTCCTGAGCAATGAACACAATTACAATGAGATAGAAAATAAAATATCTGTGATTGTTTATATAGGATGAATTTAATAAACACGTTTCAACTGTGTTTAGAATACATTGATTGACACAACACAATGGTATGATTGGAGTTGTTAGCTGTACTTGATTTTGATGACTAGTTCAAGGTCAAGGATGAGCTAATCTTTGGGCCAAACTCAGCTTGGCTGGATCACAAGGGAAAATATTACATCATAGCTGTTCGAATAACCTGTGGCCATGGAATACCCCTCCTGCAGTCGCATGTAACAATGGGACAGGAATGCTGGTGATATCATTGCCCTAATACATCCCTTGGTCAATTAGGTATGGCCATGTGAAGAGTTTTTACCTTTGGTTTGAGGCCTTCAGGAGACATGGGGACACCGCTGAAACTACAATTCTCAGTTGACCAACGAGGAGGCACTTGGGTCATTGAAGGTCACAACGCTGATGCAAAAATGAGAAGCACTTGTGTAAAGCTGTCAGCTCAAAGGAAGTGCTGAACAGAGGGGTATGCTGGAAGGATCAATGGGTAAGAAGGTGGGGATGGAAGATGAACATAGCACTGGACGTTTTAGAAAAGTCCACACTGAGGATTTTGCTATGGAAACTGAAAAATGGTTTGGGCTATACCCCGTGGTGTACCTAGCATATCTGGCACCTGGGCTGTTCATTTTGTTTAACACCTTATTCCACATATTAAAAAAATATATACACATACAACACTCAGCACAATCATTTTTTAATACAAACTCTTCCATTACATATACTTTTCAGCTAACTTTAAAGTAGAACTTAATAAAATAGTCAGTGACTACTTAGCAACCAGCAACTGTTGAAACAACATACACTTTAGTCAAAAGCAGTCAGCGGTCGGCTGTAAAAAGACCCCCTCCCCCAGAACTAGTGGTCAGTAGCTGGTTGGTGCAATAACCCACTCAGCATTAATGGTCAGTAGCTTACTGGAGCAATAAAACCCCCCACCCCTCCCCTGGCACTGGTGATTAGTGGCACTCAATACCCCCCCCCCCCCCCCCAGCATCTTTGGCTGGCTGCAACTAGAACCACCAACCGAAACTAAAGCGGAACTAATTCAATCAGAAAATGCAAAGCATTCTTTAAATGCCACATATACTGAGCGGCCAACCTCCTATGTTCACAATGTATCAGGCCAGCCACTCGGCACAGGACTCAGAAGCAAGTGGAAATCACTGGAGTAGTAAAGTCTGCTTCTATGATTTCCAGCTTCCAGGGACATCAGCCAGATATGGTATATAAGAGTTACATTGATCCAAGCTGTATAAAAAAAATCCATAACTGGAATTCATCTTTAAAGTGTAACCAAAGGCAAAGTTTTTTTATATTTTGGATAGAATAAGGGAGGATTGTAACCCCTGTCAGTTTTTCTGTGTCATCTGTGACCCAATGGGGAGATTTCCCATCATTTCCTGTCCCATAGCCAAAACAGGAAGGAATCCCTGTGTATCACCAGAACTAGTATCCCCATTGAAAGATTTCCCCTCTGTTAATGTTCTGATGTCAACACAAAATTTTACTCTCACTTTCAACGATAATGGACAAATAGAGAAGGTTAATCTCCCTAACAGGAACCAAGACAGCAATAAATACTGACAGGTGTTCTAATCCTTCTTCAAACTATCCAAAATGAGAAAAAAAAGTTTTGCCTTTAGTGACACTTTAAGTGAGATATTACAGACAAGTGACAATTTAGTATAGAAGCCCAGATATCATTCAGCAGCGATCACCTATCAACCAGTTGTCGACCACCCGCAATACATATACTGTGGGCAGCAGCTACAGGCTAAACAACAGCCACCCCCCCCCCTTCCCACAACCTAAGCGAATTGTCTTCTGGTACCCAGCCGCCTTGATTAATTCATAACAGCTGCAATTCCAGTAGTAATGCTGTGATTGGCCCACAGCTATCACATGGTACCTGGACCAATCACAGCACCCTGTACAATGTGAGTAGCTGTAACCAATCACAGATCACTAGGAATGTAACCTATTCATAACAGTGCAAAACACTGTCAAAAAAACTATGGTGACACTGAACTACTCTGATAAAAGTATGTGAACAAATTGTGAAAAAAGTTTAAAAAAATAAAAGTTTTAAAAAATTGAAAAAAATTTTTTTTTTTAATTAACACACTATCATCAGTCAGTGTCCCTGATCACCGCCACACCAGTCATATGATGACACCGTACTGTGCTGGTGAGTAACAGTATGTAAAAAGCAGTATGTAAAAATAAATTGTGAAAAAAAGTATTTAATTTCTTCATTTTCCAAAAAATTGTGACAAAACATTATAACTTCAAAAAACTTGCCATGCCTCTTACTAAATACCTAGAACTGTCTGCTTTCCAAGAAGGGGTAATTTGGGTGGTAATTGTCCTGTCATACAACAGGATTGATCAATTTTCAAATATACAGTATATACCAGTTTGTAGACGTTATAACATTCACACAAAACAATTAATATACACTTAATGGGATTTTTGTTTACCAAAGACAGGTAACAGAATACATTGTGGCCTAAATTAATGAAATATTATTATTTTTTTTTTTTTTTATTTGATATGTTTTATAACTGAAATTAGAAAATATTGTTTTTTTTTCAAACTTTTCGGCCTTTTTTAGTTTTAGTTGAAAAAAATTAAAAACCCAATGGTGATCAAATACCGCCAAAAGAAAGCTATATTTGTGTGCAATATATGATATAAATTTCATCTGTGTACAGCGTTGCATGAATGTGCGTTAAAGTAGTGCAGTGCCAAATAGAAAAAATATGCCCTGATCATGAAGGGCAGGCCCGGACTGGCCATAGGGCACATTGAATATTTGCCCACTGGGCAGGGGCCGCCTGGATAGGAGAGGAGGCTGGGCGGCACATAGAGGACTGTGCATTTCTTGGTTCCTCTATGTTCTGTCTGGCCACCTCTCCAATCCATCTCCTGCAAGCTGCATACCCTTGGTTCCTGTAAACTGCCCCTCCTCCCGCAATCTCCTCCTGTGTCTGTCCCGCCCACACTTCCAGCCAGCCTTGTGTCTTCTTTCCCCCTTCTTTTTTCTTTCTTTATTCCTTTACTTCTTGTTTTCTTTCTCTCTCTCTCTCTGTCTCCTGTTTCTCTCTTTTTTTTTCTCTCTCTCTTTTTTCTCTCTCTGTCTCCCGTTTCTCTCATTTTTTCTTTCTCTCTTTTTTTCTTTCTTTTTTATACTTCTTCTTTCCTTCTCTCTCTCCCTCTGTCTCCTGGTTTCCTCCTTCCTTCTTTCCATCCTTTCTTTCATTCATCCTTTCTTTCCCTCATTTCTTTCTTTCTTTCCCCCCTTCCTTCTTTCTTTCCCTCTCTCTTTCTTTCTCTCTTTCTTTCCTTCGTTCCTTCCCTCTTTCCTGCTTTCCCTCTCTCCATGTCTCTCTTTCCTTCCTTCTTTCCCTCCTTCATTCTTTCCTCCTTTCTTTCCCTCCTTCCTTCTTTTTTTCCTTCCTTCTGTCCCTCTTTCTTTCCCTTCTTCCTTCTTTCTTTCTCTCTTTTTTTCTTTCTTTCCCTCCTTATATACATCTATCTTTCTTTATCTCTCTCCCTGTCTCCTTTTCTTCCTTCCTTCTTTCCCTCCTTCTTTCTTTCTTTACTTCCTTCTTTCCCTTCTTCCCTCTTTCCCTCTTTCTTTCCTTCTTTCCCTCCATCTTTCTTTCCCTCCTTCTTTCTTTAACTCCTTCCTTCCTTCCTTCCTTCTTTCCCTCCTTCCTACTTTCTTTCTATACATCTCTTTCTTTCTCTCCTATTTCTTTCCTTTCTTTCCTTCCTTCTATATTTCCCTCCTTTTATACATCTCTTTCTTTCTCTCTGTCTCCTGTTTCCCTCCTTCCTTCCCCTCTTTCTTATAATCCTACTTTCTTTCCCTCCTTTTTTATTTCCCTCTTTCCTTCTTTCCCTCCTTCCTTTCTTTATTTCCCTACTTCCTTCTTTCCCCCTTTCTTTCCCTTTATCTTTCCCTTCTTCCTTCTTTCTCTCCTCCCTTCTGTCCCTCTTTCTTTGCCTCCTTCCTTTTTTCCCTCCTTCCTTCTTTCTTTCCCTTCTTTTATACATTTCTCTTTCTTTCTTTCTCTCTCTGCTCCTGTTTCTCTTCTTCCTTCTTTCTTTCCCTCCTTCCTTCTTTTGCTATTTCTCTCCTTCTTTCTATCCTTCTTTCTTTCTTTCCTTCCCTCTTTCCTTCATTCCCTCTTTCTTTCCCTCCTTCCTTCTTTCTTTCTATACATCCCTCTTTCTTTCTCTCTCTCCTATTTTTTCTTTCTTTTCTTTTCTTTCTTTCGTTCCCTCCTTCTTTCTTTCCTTCCCTCCTTCCATACGTCTCTATTTCTTTCTCTCTCTCTCTCTCTGTCTCCTGTTTCCCTTCTTTCTTTCCCTCCTTCTTTATTTCCCTCTTTCCTTCCCTCTTTCCCTCCTTCCTTCCTTTCTTTCCCTCCTTTTATACGTCTCTCTTTCTTTCTCTCTCTCTGTCTCGTTTCCTTTCTTCTTTCCCTCCTTCCTTCTTTCCCTCCTTTCTTCTTTCCCTCCTTCCTTCCTTCATTCCCTCCTTCTTTCTATACATCTTTCTCTCTGTCTCCTGTTTCTCTTTCTTTCTTTTGTTCCCTCCTTCTTTCCTACCTTCTTACTTTCCTTCCCTCCTTCCATACGTCTCTATTTCTTTCTCTCTCTCTGTCTCCTGTTTCCCTCCTTATTTATTTCCCTCTTTCCTTCCTTCCATCCTTCCTTCTTTCCCTCCTTCCTTCCCTTTTTCCTTCCTTCCTTCCCTCCTTCCTTTCCCTCCTTCTATACATCTTTCTTTCTTTCTTTCTTTCTCTCTCTCTGTCTCTTGTTTCCCTCCTTCCTTCTTTCCCTCATTCCTTCCTACAAAAAATGTAAAAAAAATAAAGTATAAAATTGTAAAAAAATTAAATAAAAAGAAAAGCCTACTGACACTAGTGGTGGAACTACCAGGGTCGCAAAGGTCGTTCATGCGAGGAAAGGTTCCCTGGGCTTTGGGCTGCTCAGTCCAAAATGCCTGGGCCTATTTTTTCTCCCAGTCCAGGTCTGAAGAAGGGGTCAAACTTTCTGGAGCTCAAGTGGTTAAAATGACTTTTTTTAATTAAACAAACCTAGCCTGTATAGAATTCATACCTAACCTCTATCACAGTTGCAATCTGGCCCCAAGTACAGTATGGGGTTTATTTACTGAAGCTGGAGAGTGCAATATCAGGCTCACTTCTGAATAGAAGCCAATAATGGGCAGCACAGTGGCTAAATGGTTAGCACTTCTGCCTGGTAAATACTAGGGTCATTGGTTCAAATCCCAGCCACGGCACCTCCTGCCTGGAGTTTGCATTTTCTGCCTGTGTGGGTTTCCTCCAGGTACTCTGGTTTCCTCCCACACTCCAAAGACAGGCTGGTAGGTTAATTGGATTCTGTCTAAATTGGCCCTAGTATGTGTATGAATGTAAGTTAGGGACCTTAGATTGTACACCCCTTGAGGGTTAGGGACTGATGAACAATATATATATAAAGTGCTGCATAAAATTGATGGCACTATATAAGTACCAGAAACAAAAAAAAAAATCATCTTCCAGGTTGTATTGCCAAAGCTTAATGTTAGAAGCTGATTGGTTTCTATGCAGAAGTGAGCCTTGTGTTGCACTCTCCAGTTTTAGTACATCAACCCCCCAGTGTGTCAGTGAACAGACCTGATCTGGGTGATGGTGGAACAATGGAGTGTTGTTGGAACGTTCGGTGTGATCACAGAGAGGGGACACGTGGAAGGACTGTTTACATCTCATTAGTAATCCCGCTGTCACCTCTCTCCCTCCCGCTATCCTAACCAGTTCCTCAGCCACGCCCCCAGCCGTCATCTCCTAGGATACTGCATCCAAGCCCGGGCAGACCTGACACTCTCAGTATATTGGGGACTGTGTATCAATTCCAAGAAGTAATAGTCGGGGGTGGGGGATATTGAAGGGTGCCTGCATGCAACGCGTGACCGGTGTATCAGCACCTTCCGTAGCCCATGACCCATGCGCTGAGTGACCAATGACTCCAGCAGTCACCCCTCTCCCTCCTTCCCCCGCTCTTTCCCGCACTAAGCAGCTATCCCACACTAGCCAAACCAGCTCCGTAGCCACGCCCCCAGCCGCCATCTCCACGGATACTGCCTCCGAGTTCCGCCCACAACTGCAATCCCTGCTGTTTCCCTGTTTGAATCACTCTCAGTCGCTGCCGCCGTTTCCTGTTTCCAGGGCAACTGCCAGGGCTTCAGCGTCCGCTGTTACCATGCCAACCCAAGGAGCATGCTTCTTGGCCCAAAGCAGGAGTTCAGAGAGAAGTAGAAGGCAGAGCGGAGAGGAGCAGCTTGTGTGACACCATGGCCGGCGAGGAAGGCTCACTCATGAAGCTGGAGGCTGTCATCCAGGTGAGGGGAGAGTGCTGAGAGGGATGGGGCTGTGTGAGGAAACACTGCTGTACTGAGGACAGAGAAGCTGGAGGCAGGGTGAGGTACTAGGCTGAGCATGTACTGCCCCTGGCTGTACTGTATAGAGAATGGATCTAACTGTACAGATTGATGAAGTCTCCATTCACAGCATACAGGGTCCTGCGCATTCCTATGCACGATAAACACAAAAGTCTCTGAATCTTGTACAAAATCGCACGGAAACGCATGGCGCTCAGGCATCACATGATAAACACAAGCAGGAGGTGCGCAAAAATGTGCGCATTAGCAGATGAAGGTGCTATTAAGAATGAATGGAACCCCCACATGTCTTCTAAAGGGCAGCATGTTTCTGTGCGAAACTGTGTACATTCCCAACACGCAGAAGTGTGAGCATAGCCTAAGACTGGCCATACACTATACAATTTCTGCCCAATTTCCCTTACATTTACCTTCAACTATGTAGTGCAAGAGCCTGCCTAATTGGATACAATTGAAAGTGTTATTCAGGTTTGACTGCCTATTATATGGTTTTTGGTAAATCTAAAGTAAAATACTCAAGAAAATTGTATAGTGTATGGCCAGCCTAAGGAACGGTTTATAGTGCCAGTCAGTGCCGCCTATCAGTGCCATATATGGGTGCTGCCTTTCAGTGCCCATCAGTGATGCCTGTCAATGCTCATCAGTGCCACCTACCAGTGCCTCCTCATCAGTGCCCATCAGTGCCACCTACCAGTGCCTCCTCAGTGCCCATCATTGCCACCCATCAGTGCAGCCTATCAGTGCCCATCAATGCAGCCTCATTAGCGCACATCAGTGAAGGAGAAAAATCACTTATATACAAAATTTTATAACAAAAACTTAGAAAAAACATTTTTTTTTTTCAAAATTTTCAGTAGTTTTTGGTTTGTTTAGCAAAAATTAAAAAACCCAGAGGTGATTAAATACCACCAAAAGAAAGCTCTATTTGTCACAAAAAAATGATAAAAATGTCATATGAGTACAGTGTTGCATGACCGCACAATTGTCATTTAAAGTGTGACAGCACTGAAAGCTGAAAATTGGCCTGGGCAGGTAGGGGGTATAAGTGCCCTGTAGGCTAGTGGTTAAAGATGTAGGGGGTTCAGACAATATATGTTGATCTTGCATTGGTCTGCTTTAAAGTGTATCGAAAACCAGCATATGGCCCCTGATGATGATGTTCATGTCCCTGCTATGGAGAATAAATGTCTCTATTCATCCAGCTGACCATTGTCACTGGGACTGTAAGTGAGAGGAAATCCCAAACTGTTGAGTTCACACCAGACAGGACAAACACACACAGGAACGTTTTGCTGTGGCAAGTGTCTAAAGAGTAGCCACACCGATACAACCGGACTGTACAGCATTGGTTAGATCTGCCAACACCTAGGGCTCGCCTGATTGGATACAAATTGGGTAGATAAGGTGGGTTCTCATATTGCATAGATTATATCTAAAGGAGATTGTACAAAGATTGTACAGTAAGATTTTATTGTGTGTGGTGAGCATTAAAGCAGAACTTAAGGCGGAGCTCTAGTCACAATATAAAAAAATAGAAGCTAACAGCTGCAAAAACTGGAGCTGCTGACTTTTAAAAAACAGACACAACCTGTCCCTCGATCAAGTGGTTTCTTCACCGCAGTGGGGTTGACTGGCCGTCCTGTGTCCCTGGTGCCGGCATCTTCATTGTGGGCACCCGGCTGTGAAAGCTTGCGGCTTCACAGCTGGGTATCCACTGCGCATGCGCAAGTAGCCCTACAGTCCCACAGTTTTCTGTGATCTGTCATGTGTCCCAGAAGACTCCAATTGCGTAGGTGATCGCAGCGGAAGTGAGAGCGGGTATCTGTCAAATTTGGGTATCCCCTTCCCCCTCCGCTCCCTAAAGGTGCTAATCCTTAACGGGGAGCGGGGGACGAGGCCTTAAAGTGGAATTTCCCCTTTTGGGTGGAACTTCGCTTAAAACTCCCAAAAGGGAGTTAACTCAGTTTTAAACAATCCTTCCCTCCTCTATTTATATATTTATTTTGTAGCCTCATTCCCCCCCCGCTGGTATTCCAGCCTAAGCCAGAATGACATGTACCTGGTCTTGCAGCGTCCTGGTATACTTACATCATATCTCCCGGGAGGCTGAAGGTTCAGCACACAGAGCGTGGGTGGGAAGGCCGGTGCGTCATCAGACCTGGCTGCCTGCACCCAGAAGAGGTAGCTGGCTAAAGAGGACCAAAATAAGATGGCAGCACAGTACCAGCTGTATGGCACCTGAAACATACAGTGTATTACAGCAGGACAATGCTGGATCCTCTGCATGGGGCAGGCTGTGTTTTTAAAATAATGCAGCAGTACAGGTAAGAGAGAAAACAAAACATGTATGAGGGTGGGGGGAGTTGAGCACCACTTCAAGAAAAGATTTCCCTTCTAAAGATTATCTCTCACTTCCTGTTGTGTCAGTGAAATAGGAAGTGAAGAGAAAGCTTCCAAATGTGAGAAAGATTGCAAAAAAACCCAAAGGTTTTAAACCGTCCCCACTCTATCCATAGCTAACAAAAGACTTTTAGATTCAGATATAATTTATTGCATGATGTACAGTCTCAGCCTATTTACACCTTTCCAGTGCAGTGTGTCCCGATAACACGCTGTTTGCTACAACACATGACATTCATTTTGAATGGCATCCCAGTGCACTAAGGTGACAAAGCTCCACCATGCAGGTATTGCAGCCCAGCATAGCACATAGTAACACAATGCTCTTTATTGTTCGCTGTGTTTTCCAAAATTATGCATGTCCATTCGTTTGAATGTTTTGGTGCGTTGCCAACTCATTTATTTGAATAAACTTCCTTAACGCATAGCAAGTTAGGCGTGAAAAAAATGCAGAATAATACAATGCACCAGGACGCCAAGGTCTGAATGGGTCCTTAGGAATGAGGTATACTAAAAAAACAATCAAAATCACCCCTACCTCTGTTGGGGCAAAAAAGACTGTATAAATATATAATTGGAAATTTGTTCAGAGGCATCATGAAGTGCAGCCACAGCTTGCAGTGTAAAACAAGCACTACAAATGCTCAGTAGATGCCTATTCACACCTTTCTAGTGCTGTGCATGGCAGGAATGTGTGTATCAATGCAACGTACAAGGCATATTACGTGCATTAGTACATAACATGGCACCCCAATGCACTAAGGCAACTATGCTTCAAAACACATGCAATGCAGTCAGGACTGCTGTTAGAAATCACAGGGCCCCATACAACCTACCTGAAAGGCCCCCCCTCCCAAAAAAAACCCCCAAAAAATCAGTTGACTATGCTTACTATGCTTTAGTTATGAATGAAAACAGTAAATGATTGGTACAGATCACTCATTGTGTTCATTCAGGAAAGGAAGGTCTGGTAAATGTGACATATTTACAGGACCCTTCCCCCACTTTCCATCCTGAAGGATCCTTTTGTGTGCTTACAGCTGCTGTTGGAAAGAAGAGGAGGGAAGCCGGCAGCACTGTGGGGGTGGGGGGCACACAGGAGGGCCTGGACAGCAGGGGGGAACGTATGGTATGGTGCACAGGGAGGGGGATTGGTGTGGTGGGGGGTATTACTGGAACCGTTCCCCTGTATGGCTCTTCCTGCAGCAGCTGAAAGCCAGAGAAGAAGCCAGTTTTTAGCTGCTGCACAGAGAGACATACAGGGGATCGGTTACAGTAATTGCCCCCCCCCCCACACTCACCCCATCACCCTATCACCCTCTCTGCCCACATCCAATTCACCCAGCTGCCTGGGCCCATCTGCTGGCCTGGGCCCCGTACAGAGGGACTGGTGGTACCCCCTTATCCACGGCCCTGAATGTGTGCACCACATTGCATGGTAACACGATACTGTTCATTGTGATGCATTGCCAAAAATAATACATGCCTGTTTCAATGTTTTGCTGGCCCATTTATTTGAATAGGCTGCCTTAACCAAATGCACATTAACATATAAAAAAAAACGCACACTAATGCAGTGCACCAGTACACCAAGGTCCAAATGGAATCTTAGAAAAGTGGAGTACCAAAATGGCCCATACACCTGATGGAGCAAAAAAAACCAATGTATTATAGGTATTTATCAATGGAAATCTGTTCAGTGGCAGCAGTGCTGTAGCTTCGGCATATCTGCGCACGTACGCTGTGATACCTCCTGCATAGTGGATGCTATGGGTTTTTTAACTTACTGATTTTTTTACACTCTTCATTACTGTTATCAGTATGTACTTCATGCAGATTTGTTCCTGAGATGTGCATAAAAAACAGATCAAACCATTTAGATAGACCCAAACATACTACAAAATCATATTTTAATTTTGTTAAAACGCATAGGTCCTGTTCCTGGAATGTACACTCCATGACAAACTGCCCATTATAATAAACTGAGTGTGTGCTTCATTTGCGGCCCGAAGCTCATTGACACAAACCTTTACTAAATTGGGCCCACTACCTACACCTATGATAGACTATTCCTAAACATAAACTAGCATACTCTGTCTGACTTCATTGATTTGTTTTGTAATTATTGTTTCATGTAATGTATATTTATTCTATTTATTTACTTTTTTGTTGCTCTTTTGTTGTAAGGTGACTTTGGGTGTTCTGAAAGGCACCTAAAATTGAAATGTATTATTATTGTATTATTCCAGCTTCTCTCAACTCAAAATAACCATTGGACATAATTAGCTAAAGTGTAATCACAATTAAAGTGGGAGTAAACCCCCATTGGACGCTTGTTCCTACAGGTAAGGTATAGTAAAGCTTACCTGAAGGTACAAGGAATACCTACTAAATATGCACCATTTAGGAGATATTCAGTGTCTCTGCAGCCAGTGACGTCACCGGTCCACACGCTCTGAAGGGACGGCATACCTGTGCTATTCCTTCAGAGCCCTGTGCCGTTGCCAAGACTCCCGCATGCATGCGTGGAAGTGACATCAATGTGGCTCAGCCAGTCAAGCGGCCAGAGTCCGCGAACCCAGAAGGAAGACTGAGTGAAGATGGAAGCCTCTGCAGAGGTGACAGCTCTCCACTGGACGGCTTCATTTCAAGGTATTTGATAATGTGCTAGTGTGTGATGCATACTTGCACATTATGACATTACGGTACCTTGCAGGGCGAAGAATTTTATTTTTTTTTAAGTCAAGTTTACTACAGCTTTAAATTTATTGGACATAAAAAGGTAAAATGACACTACACTCTCAAATGTTTTTTTTTCCAAGTACAGTATGTATTCTTAATTCATAAGCGTCCCTTCTATTACTCTAACCCTCCTCCAAATCTCAAAATTCCATTTTCTTTTTTTTTTTTTTATGCTGTAATCAAACTTTCTATTAGAGGTTGGCTAATTTTTTTCTCAATGGTTGCACTGTATGTAGAAACATAGTCACCTTCTCTTGCTCGCTCCTGAGTTGGACCATGGACTAGAGAATGTGTAATGTGCATAGATCAGCCTTTTCAACCAGGGTGCCCAGGTACCCTGGGGTGCCTTCAGGTTTCTTCAGGGGTGCCTTGGCAAAATGCCTAAAAATTGCCCAAATTGTATACGAGCCAGTGGGTGGATCGAGACTACCTTTTAGTTACACAAAGCCACACAGGTTTTCATTGTGCACCATTACAACCTTTGAGTCCTAACAACATGCATCCTAACGACCAATGGTGTCAGTATTTAATAAGGAGGACACTGGGTGCTTGCACAGCATCCTTCTTTGCCTCTCCCCTCCCCACACAAGCAGCACTGGTATCACATTAGCTGAATGTGGGATAGAAACTGAGGGAGAAGAGAAACACTGGAATTCTAGTCAGTACCAGTGTGCAAAGGTGTATATGCTTTGGAAGAATAAATAACCTCTAACGTTTGGTGTCCTACCTGTGTGGATGTTGCTGCTTAATCCTAAAGCGG